TCCCTTTTTAGTTTTATATTCTCTCCCCTTGTTTTTTCCCTCATCTTTATTATTATTATTAGTAGTAGTAGTTTTATATTATACTTTAGTTACTAAACTGTTCTTATCTCAACCCATGGGGTTTACATTCTTCCAATTCTCCTCCTCATCCCACCTGGAAGTGGGAATAGAGGAGGGTGAGCGAAAGTAGCTGCATGATTCTGAGTTACCGGCTGGGCTTAAACCACTACAGCAGCACAATTTCTTTTTTTCCATGCCTTCTGTCTAAGACCTTTTAAGAAAGCTAGTTCAATTAAAACAAAAATTTATAATCAACTAACACATTTAACTTCTAATATTTCTTAACAGATTTTGGGGTAGACTTTTTTGTTTCAGTGGCTGAAGTCCTGGTATAAGTTTGTATGGCCATGGGGGTTGAATGACAGTGAAGAAGTTGATTAAGTGCTTCAGTTATTGGCACTTCTACCACCTTACTTACATGAAGCACAATCTTGCTTGCAGACAATCTGTTGTACCACATTTGTTGATCTTTCAGAAAATCAATAGAACTATTTGCAGTGCTAAGTAATTTAAGTGTGGCTGAACCTGACTTCCTATCAGCATTTGGGCACGCTTTAGAAGTACGTATTTCATCCAAAATACCACAAAATGACTTGCCAGTAATATAATAGACAAAGTCCTTGAAAAAACCTACTTTTCAAATCCTAAGAAACCAAATTAGTATTAGGTCAGAGGTCTTGTGTCCTATCCATTTATAACATTATAAATTCTCTGACATAAGCTATATGGACAGTAATTATCCAGCTTCAGCCTCACAAGCACAATTCCGAGATTCTATAATGCTCTGAATTTTCTTCTAATATTCTGGTCATATCTAAATTGTTCTAATATTATGGCCATATCCAAAGTTATTTATAGGGAAAATTGAAGGTGGAGAGCAAGCATCTTGACTGATACACAGTACTGTAAAATTTTGTTTCCATGAACATAATAGAGATGTTAATTAAAATGGCATTGTCCAGGAAAAGTAATACTAAGCTTGCTATGGATTTTTTCACATAACTTTCAAAATAACATCAGCATAAGGAGTCCATGGCACCTCTTGGGTACTCATTCCTCCTGAATGACTAAATCCCAAAGAAATATTATTGGTAACTTGTTACTACCTACTACAGGTTTTTAGACCACTTCATCTTACTTACTGAATGTATGGCTCTGATTAAGGGATGTTCAGTGCTGGACAAATAATATAATCATCATGGCAGTGTGGGATTGTATCCTAATTACCTTCTTCTTAGCCATTATCAGGTTGGTTTATTTCTGGCATTATTAAACACTCCTTCTAACTGTACTGCACTCCAATGCCCTGCATGCTAATAATTCCCTTTTTTGAAGAATGGACAGAAAAGACAGTGATACAAGAGCCTATTTTTCTCATTAACCTGAAGAAGGGAAATTTTCTAGCAGCTCACTACTGACCAGGCCAATCTACCAACCAGCACAAGGTGGCCAACGAATCAGCTGCAATGGAAATGATGTTGAAGAAAAGAGATTTTATACTTTGCCTCAGGACTAGTAAGAGAGCTCCATAAAACCTGAAAACACCTACTTGTTCTTATAGCTGTTTTTTTAAGTAGAAATAGTAAGAATACAGATTTGTAGATACTGTGGCAGTGAAGGCCAAATAAAGCTAAGGTTGATTGGAAATTGTAGATTAACTTAGACATTTGGATTAGGTAGAAATCACCCTGATGTGCAGTAAAGCAAGCAACAAGAACCAGGGTTTTGAAATAGCGTGAAGCGTGTCTTAAAAGTGCTAGCATTTTCTTCTTAGGAATAAACTGTTCATTAGTCTATCAATGTGCATAATGGCTCTCAAAATCATAAGAATTAATAATAGTTCAAATAGAAGAAAGGGACATTAATTTCTCATTCATGAATATTAATGTTTTAGTAGACAATCTCTTTCCAACAAGCTTTCAAACTCTTAATTTTCAAGTCTATTACTGTTTACCTGTTATTTTTACTATCAGAAACCTCCCCACTGGGCCACCAGAAGATTTCAAATCACCCTGACTTGGACATCAGCAGAGAGGATGAGAGCAGAAGACAACACAAAGGGTAGGATCATGGTGTCCTGATAACATTCTGCAGAATACGACAGTGTTTACTCAGCCAAAGCGTACACCAAAGGGCAATGGAAAGTAGTGATAAGGGCAAGGAAGACTATAATTAGACTCAGAAGACCAGTATGATGGTGGATTATCAGGAAGAGAAAGTGATGATAGCAGAGGGTAGGTATTAAACACCCAACTGCAGAATAAGGTGCACAAGAAGAGACATGAATGACATGCCAGGCGGTGCCCCATGGACTGCCTGCATCTGCTTAATGCACTGTGTCTCATTCCTTCCAAGAGGACATAGCAGGTGGGTGGAGAACCACCCAAAGGGCATGTTCAAGTTCTGGTGCTTCAATAAGCATCTTATCCCAGTGCAACACAGAAACTGAAAGAGAACATTTAAGAAATCCTTTACTGTTTTTCCCCTCTTAACACTGCTGAGATTCTGCAACCAAAACTTAAACTCAAGAGATGGCGTTCTTTACCTAGTTTCCTTTGAAAGGAGAAGAAAGTGAGCTACCAAGAGTAAACTTTCAGATAATGCATTTCTTTACATTGTGCATTTAATTACACTGCATCTCTAAATAACCAAGGAGGGAAAGATATTGTGAGATGTATTTAACCTCCTTATATCTGATGCTGGGCCTGGAAAAGCTTTAGTTGAACTAAAGATTCTTATGAATGTAGAATCGAAGTGAGCCATACATTAAGAGTTTCATATTCTCTGACAGCTGTGCATGTGCACATACAGCTCTCATTAATAGTAATGGCAAATATGCGTGCCTACCATTCAGAAAACAGATCTCTAAGTACTTTATTGGGTTTGTTTTCTTCCTAGAGATTTTCCTCTATTGGATCTTTAATTAATCTCCTGCTAGGCTTTTTCACTTTAAGCTATCCCTCTTCTCTCCCCTCTTGCCCCCTCCCCTTTTCTGACAGGAGTAAACCCCCAAATCACTCTGGATTTTAGTAAAGTTTTTCCAAGCTGATAATTTTACAAAATGCACCTACATACATTAAATACAGAGAGGGTCTGCAGCACACAGACCACAAGGACATGTAACAGAATAAATGCCTTGGACTTTAAAAATACTTTCGTTAATTGCCAACTTAAAAAAAAAAAAAAAAAAAAAAAAAAAAAAAAAAAACAAAAAAAAAAAAAGAGAAAAAAAAAAAAAAAACAAACCAAAAATAAAGCAAAGGTAGATATGAAAATAAGAACATGAATGTTTTTGTATTCTTTTTGTGATCACTGCAAGGCAAGAGTCTGCAACCTTGTGGAACAAAACACACACATTTCATTCTGATTAATATAAAGACAGTCCCTTCTAACATTATTCAGAATTATTAGTCTCTCTCATGTTTGGGGATATATGGATTATCAGCCTAGCACATTTTGAATACATACACATTTTAATTCCTTTCCTAAACCATTTTAGGCTCTACAGTTAAATCGCATATACAAACTTTATAAATCACTAATTTGGTATTTTTTCTCCACTTAAATAACTAAATGCTGCTTGACATAAAAGGGAGTCAAAATCAAAAGACAGCAGCATGGATAACGGAAGTTAAGTTAGATTTGAGATGCCTCTGTTCTTCTATTTTTAAGATTATTATTATTATTTTTATATAAGAGGCTATTTCACTAGCTTATACTGCATCTGATGTACTTACTTATCGCCTCCACAAACTGTTCAAAGAAGCAGTATGGGAACAGTGGCTCAGGCAGCTCTCTGAAAAACATCTTGAGTGCTCCGGTGACAACGTGGATGTCCTCCCACTGGCTGTCGTCCAAATTCAGCTTCTCTTCTGGGAAAACACGAGGAGAAATGGAACAACTGGTTTTAATGAAACAATTACAAGACACTAATTATTATGTTAATGTTTGCCTACTATCATCAGCAACCGTTAACAGCCTTCTGCACCTAGAGGTTTGGTGCTGTGCATGGTTTTTTTTTCTTTTTTTTTTTTTTGGTAGGAAGAGAACATTTTCAATGGAATACCATCTGTAGGAATGCAGCTAACAAAAAACAAGAGACACAAAGAGACAGTACCATTGACACAGTATGTCAGATACATTTATTCCCATAATGCACCAGTATGAAAATTAGCATCACAGCTCAACATGATTCAAAGCTATTGGTTTTGAGGCCGAGGGGCTAAGAGTTGCCAGCGATGGACGGCTCAAGGGACCGGCCTAGAGGCCTTGCTGAGCCAACAGGAGACATATGCTAAACATGGCAATAGAAAATGAGTTATTGCTTTACATGTGTTAGCCTTGCTATGTACAAGGGAATAATGGGTAACGCTTTTCTCCTTTTTTGCCTGAATGTAATGTCAGCAAGGAATAGAGTACTGTGAGAGAAAGGATATTAATTCCTTCTTACTGCTTCAAATATTTTTTGTTTGGTTTTCATCTCTGGGAGGAAGATTTGCCCAGCAACAATATTAGACAGACCCCTGTTGGCCTACCTAGGCTATGCAAAGCTGTCAAAAATGATAACACACTAAAGACAAACCACAAGTGCATACAAAACTGTTTTGCAAACAAAAAAACATTTTCTTTTGAAGCTTGACTGAGCTAAGGAATTTAAATATAAAAGAAACTAAATCCTAAAATAGAGTTTCTAATAAAAATAAAACAAGATTGCATGATTATTCTATTTTTCTTTGGTCTTGTTTTTTTCTTTTTAATTCTGGTAGTGTGATACTGTTAGAATATAAAAAACAATGAGATCATAATCCATATAAAACTCTAGGAAAATACAAATCCTTATCAGTCCATATCAAAATGACACACACTTTCTCCAAGTTCTGTTGGTCCAGAACTGGAATTTGCTTTTTTCACATGTGCTATGAATCTCTTTTTTAAAAAATTTCAGTCTGATGCAACTCGGGGGACAATTATAAAAACTACTGAAAATATTTAATTTGAAGCAACATAATCCTGAAATGTTTCACTAAATGTGACTGAAATTTCATGTTTAGCAATCCAATTACCTTCAAGAACAGCACCTTTATTGAAATGTTGTTAAATGAAATGGTAAAATTATTTGAGACACATGGACACCCACAACTCCGGATCCCTGGTACTTTAATGCAATAGTTTTCTCACATGATGTTTACATTTGGACAGAAAATCTTATTCAAAATGGAGTTGTCTTTAAACTTCTATGTGATAAATATTATTAAACACTTTTAAATTTCTGGATTCAGGAAATGTATACAAATAAAGGAATGGACCCAATTCCTTAACTTGGAGTAATGTGAGACAAAGCTGGAACAAAGGCAGACTTGTGCATTTCATTTAGTTGTCTTTCTTGCTTCTTTGATTTCAAGCCTCTTTTTTCTTTCTTTCTTTTTTTTTTTTTTTTCCATTGAATTACCTCAATCATAAAAGTAATGATTCGATCTCAAATGAGTTACCAGAGGGGATCTTCTTTAGACTCTGAGATCATACTTGATTGATCGTATTTCAACAATTAGCCTTTTATTTTGCCACACACTATTGAACTAGATCGACAACATCTTAGCAGGCCAGCTTTAAACAGTCAACTGTTAACAATAGCATCAAAAAGAGAGACCTGATGGGGTTTACTGTCACTTTAAAGAACAGGGTGGGTTTTCACATTGTTGAAATCTGTCAGATATTTTGAAATGTCCCTCTCACTATGGTGCCACACCCCCTGCGTGCCCTTATAATAAAATTGGTTTTACTCCTGATTAAATCATTTTCTCCCTACCCACTACCATACTTCTCATAATGGACCTGTGTGCTCTACAGCTGGTGTTCTTCCCATGGTACCAATTCTTACTTTATCTTTTAAGCACTTCGCTGCTAAGATCTCATGCAGAGTGCTTATGTTTTGTTAAGAGCTTCATTCTTAGAGAAATAGCTTAACACATGTTCTAAAAATGTTGTACAACTTATTGCTTAAAACACATTTAGAAAATGTATAAGTACTGTAGCTTTGGCACAGAACTTTAAGTAGAAACCTTAAAAAAAACCAACTTGTTTTTGCCATGCATTTGTCTTAAATGTCTAAAGTGGAATGCTTGACTTCTAAGGCTTTATAGAGACTTATCTTACCAGATTTTTGCACCATTTCCAGCTCTTCAAGGAAACGTGTTAGGAATGTATCATCGTGAAAGCAAAGGGTGTCAATTTTCCCTCTAGCAATAAGAGAGTTTTTAAAAATGTTTGCTAGAAGGAACAAATGCCAAGTAAAAAAAAAAAAAAATTAAAAAGAAAATAGAAGTCCGTTCAGTTAAGAGTCTTGTTTGGTTCCCACTGGTTGGAATTGCTCACATACCATGGCGATAGGGCCATAAACAAACACACACATGTATTTCAGGCTAGGTTTAAGGGGAGAATCTGGCTTTTTGGCTTTACACAGACATATTTTTTTATTGGGGTGTTTTGCTTACATAAAGATTAAGTCCCAAATCCAGTATTTAAACTTGACAGTCAAGGACTGCTTTCAGTCATGAGATACTGTATCTGGGAAGATGCTAAAAATCTCACAGTCCTAAAAATTTGCTTTAACTTGTCAGGAGCATTTGATTAGTTCAACCATCACTGCCAGTTGATATCATATATCTTAGATACAGACACAAACATGCCCAGAAAAACCCGTAAAATTAATGCTAATACTTGGCCTGAAAATGTAAAGACCACATTAGTGGAAAAAAGAAAAAGAAATAGTGCCGACACTTGTCAAAGTTATTAGTTAAAAAAAATCAATATACAATACATTTGTGAAGGGAATGTGTGTGTTGCTCTTATTATTCCTAGCAAATCAGTCTTTTCAGCAATACACATTTTTAATGGCATTTGCAATGTCTGCAGTAGAATGAAAGAGGAGTTCAGCTTTGGTTTAAGCATACCATCATAAGGTTATCCTTGTTCAAAAAGGAATGGAAAGATCAGCTGAAGACGAAAGCAAAGAAAATATGAAAATCAGCCTAGGCAGGACAGAGAACTCAGTTTTGAAAGAAAATGGATGTGGTTCCTCTAACCACATGGCCTGCCTTTTATGTAGACTATCATGTAGACTTTTATGTAGAGCAAAATACAGTCATTTGAGAGCACTGCTTGTTCATTTTTCTTTTAAGATAATTTATACAAGTATTTTCCTAGTTATAAACTGTCTTTTGCCCATACTGCCATCAAATTCCAGAGCACCATGTTCAGAAGTCTTACTTCACTTTGGTTATTATATATTCCTACATCTCCTGAGTGACCCTAAATAACATGGAAAGCAATTCTTGCAAACTCAACTGGAACTTGGTCTGCTATGGAGATTGTGTCCTCTAAAAGCTTTCTAAAGACCTTGGCAAGATGTGTCTTACTGGGTCTTGTACCGTAATATGTTTGCTAACTCTTTACTAGTCAGAGATCCAAATCAGAGTTATAGAATCCTAAAATCCTAGAATGGTTTAGGTTGGAAGGTACCTTAAAGAACCTGGCCTTGAAAACTTCTAGGGATGGGGCAGCCACAGCTACTCTGGGCAACCTGTGCCAGTGCATCACCACCCTCATTGGGAAGAATTTCTTTACTATCTCATCCAAATGTTCTCTTTTTCAGTTTAAACCCAAATATTAATTTGTACTCTGAAAGGTGTGTTTGATAGCTGTACCTCCATTTTAATAGCCACACCTTCTCTCATCACTAGTGCAGAGACATAGCAGCCCTCTTGGGGTAAACAGATTCTTTCAAAGTGATCACACTCAACTTAGAGCAGTAACAGAGCACAGACACGTCTGGAGACATGACAGCAATGGGATGCTGTGAGGTGGTGAAGGCTTTTGCTCATCATATGACAAAGAGCTTCCCCCTTGGCAATGAGGCACATGATGTTTGGCTTCCTCCACTGCCAGTAAATCCTGTCCTGACATTGCATTTTATATACACACTCCAAGAAGCATAAAATCCCTTGAACTTTGATTAAATAGTACAGCAGAAACCTCAATCCATGCAAAGCAATAGTTTATTCATTCAGCAAGACTTCTGAGTTCTCTCCCAGCTCAACAATTCTTCTTCCTCTCTTTCTTGCTAAGTCTGTGAGGTGCACTGTCCTGCCTGCATAATCCTACACTTCCAAGTGTGTTTAAACAAAAGAAGAAAAAAGTCAGATTAGCAAATCATTAAATTTCATCTACAGCGTACTTCTAATCAGCTTCTGCTTAACCCATTCAATGCTACCATCAATGAATTACAAAGGGTATAACAGCAAAAGAAAGCTTGCATGTACCACTCCTTTACTAGAGGAACATGTCATGCCATTTTAACAGATATTTTAAACCATGATGTTATAATGCCTATGCATTTGTTTATTAAAGTGCCCAGTTGCATGGAGCCCAGGCGCAAATTACTCAACAATTTAAGTTAAAAAGCAGAACATCTGTATGTACATTGAGTGCTGTTTATTCCAGTTCTCTGAAATGATAGTTGGCTGACCTGAGGGCATGCTGTAACAGCCAAGTACTGCTAACTTAAATCTCAAACTGTGCCACAAAATAAAAAAAAATAAAAAAAGATATATGTACTTGAGCACACTGGGTCATATTCATCCTTGCATAGTTCCACTGAAATCCACAGAGTAAGGCAGGGATGAACTATTTCATCGTTTCTGTGAAAAAGATCCAGTACATTCAACAAGTTCAGAAATGGTACATCATGAAAGCATGCAGAATAGTACAAAGGTTTAGAAAAGTGGTCAGCTAGTTATACCATTGTATTGGGGAAATTTCTATGCTATTAGTTGTTATTTGAAATTGTAAGCATAAAAATATAGAGTGGTACTGAAAGACGAATCCTTTTGGTAGCCAGAAATA